AGAGAAAACAACAGCAAACCTGGAGTATTTGTGATATGAAAAGTTACAGGATTTCAGCAAGAAGCTACAGGGATCTGATTGGAAACAGGGCAGTATATCAGCCCCCAAACCTTTGCAAACAGTATTAAAAGTGAGATCATATGGAACCACCCCAATTTGACTGTGAGCTCAAATAATACACAATAGAAAGACACTCATAGGAGCCCAAGATGGAGGCAGAAGTGACTGATTTGGAGACTGAAACTGGGGAAGCAGTACAAGGCTGGAACTAGACACATCAAAAACGTGTTTCAGGATAATGCGTTGTAAACTTCATAAAGGGAAATCATGTTGGTGAAAGACGGGACTCCGCAGCGCCATCTGGTGTCAAAATGTTATAATGCATATAAAGTGCTTTTTCTTTACTAGTGTAGCTGAGTCCCAAGTCATTGAATTATATCTTTGGTGGGATGTTGCCTACCCAAGCTCATGCCATTTTATAATAAAACACTTACTAAAATTTAGTCTCAAGGTGCCATCCAACACATTTATTTTTATTGTGTATGACTGTTGGTATTTGTTTAGTGTCTGGCTGCAGAATGGTGATGACTCTCATAGATAACCAAGGCATTTCCACCATTATGGAATACTGTGTTCTCAAAGACTTGATGCTGAACTCATTCAGCACCTCCAGGAGAGATCAAGCTATATATTTAAATAAATACATGCAAACCTATGATAAAGGACATTGTTTTAGCCCTCAAAACTCCAACAGCGATAAAGCTGTCCCCGTTGGACAGCTGGGAATTTTGCTAATATGGGGAAATCTCCCAGATGGTGTGGCAGCATGTAAATCCTCAATTTTAAGTCCCTTGGATGAGGAATATGGCACAGCACAGGACATGCAAAAGCATGCTTGAGAAAATGTTTATGTCAGCAATTTACACTGCCCCAAAGGGGCCCGGAAGCACTCCCTGGTCAGCCCCAGAGGACCATTTGCCTGGGGAGCTTGTAGCCAGGGCTGCTGCAACAAATAGCTGTGCAAGCCTTTGGGAGGCAGAGACATGAGAGGACATCAGAGGAGGGATGAAAGGAAAGAGGGACAGAGGCCAGTGTTGCTCATGGCACCCCTGACCATCATCATTCAAGGCATCTCAGGGCACACTGGTTGAAAACCACTGGCTTATAGTATTTCAAATGGCTCCCCCCCCTTTAACTGTAAATTTGTACAGAAATGGGACAGAACTATCTTATGAATGTAGGCATGTAAGACTGGCACAGACACTGAAATCCATCCCTAGCCTCTGGCTTTTGGACCGGCTTCGAAAGAGTCAAAAAGGTATGGCAATGATGATTAGCCAAACCTCCAGGTAAAGTGATGATGTATTCAGAGGCAACGGAAGTTGCTCAAAATGGAGGTGGGTGGGCAGACTTTGCGGAGAGGGCTGTTGTCTTTGTGGCCTTCTTGTGGGCTTTCCAGTGGTATCTAGCTGGCCAGCAGGATGTGGGACTAGTAGGGGGTAGGATCTTAACTGAAGAAGAAGGTAGACCCTCACCACCACCACCACAGATGACATTTCAATTGTTGTTTTAGCCTGTTTTAAACCACTGCCCACATTTATATCCATTGATTGCACCATCTCTCTCTTTCTCCTGTTTTGTTCACTGTTTTCTTTTATTGCTCTTTCCTGTGGTCTCCCCTGCCCCCACCGCCGCTTTTTAATTGGTTGCTGGCCATTCTTGAGCGTTCCTTTGCAACGAAGAGCAGCATGGGCAATATCCCAAATAAATATGTAAAGGACACATGATAACACAGACGCTTCTCAAAAGGAGGATCACATTCCAGAAACAGTTTCAACTCACAAGAAGCAGGCCGTGCTGTCCATAGACAAGTGCAACTCTTCCCTCCTCCTGTTTCCCCTCCCCCGCCCCCAGGAAGAACTGTTCAATAAATTTCAGTCTTATCACCTGCAGGTTGAAGATTAATAAGGGGATGCTCCTGCACAACTCCCATTGACATGAAACAAGATAAGCCTTTTCCTAGGCCTTTCCAATTCCAGAAGGAAGAGAATTCTCTCAGCAACTCATTCCTGCACACACAAATGAGAGAGAGAGAGAGAGAGAGAGAGAGAGAGAGACTCCAGAACTGTCATAGACCTGGGTAGCTTAACACCCTTATAGAAATTGTCCCTTCCACAGGTTATCTGGAATCCCTGCAGCTAAGTGATAATGATGATATCTCTCATCAGCTTGGATAGATGCCGTCGCTTTGAGGCTTGGGTGAGATCCTAGGTCACTTCCATATGTCTTGTTTTTAACCATTTGTTCTGATTTCTTTGCACAACTTTTGCAGCGAGGTTCTATAAGGTCCACTGCATATCGAACATTCATTCTGATTTGGTGCGAGGGAAGTTGTTGTTGTTTAGTTGTGTCTGACTCTTTGTGACCCCATGGACCAGAGCACACCAGGCACTCCTGTCTTCCACTGCCTCCCACAGTTTGATCAAACTCATGTTGGTGCTGGGGAAGTTATACAACACTATAAGCCAAGCAATTGCTATTCCACACTTCCCAGGGTGTTTCCCCATCACTTTCCTTACAGCAAAAATAATTTTGGGTGATATATATATATATATATATATATATATATATATATGGTTTGTTTATTTATCTAAGAAAATAATAATCCATCCATCACCCTATATCCCAAAGCAGTTTACAAAAAAAATCGCAGAATTGAAAAAGAATTGAAAGCATTGATGAAAGCATTAGAAAGTAGAATATAACAACATTCATGGTGCAACAGCATCCTGAAAGTGTCAGCTTCGCCTTTGAGCCAGTGCCACCGACTGGGCTCAACCTCTTCAGCCCCGACTGGGCCAGGCGAGATGGAAAGCACTTCCAGAGACCTTCCACACAGGAAGCAGGTCTAAGTGCTGTGGACTCACAACTCAGAGCTGTGAGCACCAAACTCACTTCCAGTAGTCAGCAGAGCACAGCAGAGCATGAACCACACGAACGACAGCTTCTGTAGAATAACTTATTTTATTCTCTACAGCTACTATACAAACTAACTACAGACTAAATGGAGACGCTGGACTGCACTGAGTGTTACAGCTGCATGAGCAGCGACCTTATCTATACACAGATAACACTCAGACTCCCCCCTTTCTGAAACATCAGCAGATTCTTGCAATAGGAGGGGTGAAATATCCTCAGAAAGAAAATTGCAAAATCTACTTCAGTTGCATGCCATCAGTCTTCCATTTCACGATTCAGCCCTACCCACAAAATGCCAGCAGGCTAGAAGCAGCACTCGGCTCACATCCATACTCTCCAACTAGTTATGACTGCCCTTCTTCAGATTCACACCCTGGAGCTGGCCGATAACAATACACTGTTTCCTTTAATACTCCTCAACTTTACTGCATTTTCTCTAATGCAGCCTAATCCTGCTCAATTTCCAATCCTCTGCTGCTCATACATTTTGAAAGAAGCACCATTAACACTTGCTTTTACACACATTAGGCTTTGAATCAACTTTGTTTTGTTTTTAAAGGGGCAAAAATTCCCTAAAGGGCAGCGCTGGAGAAAGTTTCAACATTTTCTATTCATCCTGTTCAACACCGCTAACCAGAAAGCAGCTGAATTCCCCCTGCCTCCCCGCCATGTTCAGGACTCCACTGCATTTGCTATCAAAGGTGACATTATAAAAACACTACTGAGATGATAAATGATTACATGGTAGAACCACCTCTTATCTCCATTCAAAATGAAACACAAGGAGGTCACTTGCAAAATTAGAGCATGAGACTCTTAATCTCAGGGTTGTGGGTTTGAGCCTCATGTTGGGTGAAAGATTCCTGCATTGCAGGGGGTTGGACTAGATGACCCTCGTGGTCCCTTCCATCTCTACCATTCTATGATTCTATGAAAATAATTGTTCTGGACTGCTTTTGATGCTTTAAAAATGTACATTGCCCTGTTTATTTATTGGAAATAGCAGTATCTAAATACCTTTATAAATGAATAAATCAAAGTAATATGGTTTAGCACAGGGATAACCAATGTGATGGTCTCTAGATGCCATTGGATTGCAGCTCCCATCACTCTCAGCCAGCATGGCCAGCGACTAACAAGGAGAACACCATGTTGGCTGTCTCCTGTTTTGGAGGGAAAACATCAACACTGGATTACTATAACATGAGAAATATGTAGATAGATTTGAATAGGTTGTTCAATCAGTCTGATTAATTTTTTTAAGACCCCTAAGAAGTGGCTACTCAGAATACTGCCATACGAACTCTAATCCTACCTATGCTTTCCCCTTCTTTCCTAGTTTGAAGGTAAAGGATTGTAACCTGTGTCCATCTCAAGACATTACGTGCATTGCAGTAGGCTTCTACAGGTCTGTTTCAGCTGGGTGGGAAAGAGCTGTAGGCAGTGCTATTTTTCTAGAAAAGAAGATACCGGAACACACCATGAACACCTCACTGTTGGAGCCTCAGCTTCATGATCTGTCCTTCCAGTGAGCACTCAGGGCTGATTTCCTTAAGAATGGATAGGTTTGATCTTCTTGCAGTCCATGGGACTGTCAATAGTCTCCTCCAGCACCACAATTCAAAAGCATCAATTCTTCGGCGATCAGCCTTCTTTATGGTCCAGCTCTCATTCCATACATCACTACTGGGAAAACCATAACTTTAACTATACAGACCTTTCTTGGCAAGGTGATTTCTCTTCTGTCTAGGTTTGTCATCGCTTTTCCCCCAAGAAGCAGGCATTTTTTAATTCCATGACTGCTGTCACCATCTGCAGTGATCATGGAGCCCAAGAAAGTAAAACCTCTCACTGCTTCCATTTCTTCCCCTTCTATTTGCCAGGAGGTGATGGGACCAGAGGCCATGATCTTAGCTTTTTTGATTAAAAAACATTAGCATTCTGCTATTGCAAGAAGGAGCAAGGGCCTTCACAAACAGCCAGGCATTGGTAAAATAACCCTATGGGAAGGTCTTGTGGAAGGGCTCTAGCTCAGTGATAGAGCATCTGCTTTGCTTGCAGAAGGTCTCAGGTTCAATCCTGGGCATCCCCAGGTAGGGCCAGGAGAGAACCCTGCCTAAAATCCTGGAGAGCCTCTAAGAGTCTTTGTAGACCATACTGAGATAGACCGACATGCTGAGATAGATGGGCCAACTCTGCCGAAGACAGCTTCCTGTGCTCCTTTGTATGTGAACTGCTTTGAAGTAGGGTGTGGTGGTTTCTTTGTTAAAAACCACAACATTCAGAGAAGGGACTTGGAAAGGAATATTCTTCAGCGGGTCTAGTGCCTCTCCCAGACATTCCATTGCCACCATCCTGGCTCGGGCCCCACCTGGCTCTCTGCAAGCATCGCCAAGTTTGTTCCAAAGCGGGTATCATTTCTTAGGAGGGCTGGCTGGATCTGGAGTAAACATTCCCAGTTCATTAAGATTTGTTGTTGCTGAACATTTTCCATTACCTGGATTTATGTGCTGTGTGGTGCTTAATCATGTTTGCAAGGAGGAGAGCACTTTTCATTTTTGCTTTTCAAGATTGTGCTGGTGATCACACACGCACACCCACTTATAAGCATGCCTGCATATACAGATTCTTTTCATTTGGGTGTGCGCAGGGAGGGTGATGAATGTTGATGTTTATGAACTTCAAGGTATGGCAGCCTTGGAAACTGAAGTGCTTTGTTTATGCAGAGTCCAGTTACAACCCAGAGGGTGCCAATGCAAACTTCTCAGGTCAGACTGCCATGCCAGAAATGTCACCCACATTCCCCTACTTAAAAGGGCAGCCCTCTTTCGAAGCAAAAAAGTGGGGGGACACCTCCCTTTGCAGCCACTGTGGTTTTAAAAATCCGAGGCCTAACTATGCTGTCTCAAACACAGCAGTTTTAAAATATGCTTTTATCTGATTCCCCCATATATATTTTTTTATCTCAGCAGGAATCCACTATTACCAGCTAAGCTGATTGATTGCGTCCTCTAACCAGCCTCTGCACCAGGCACACAGCATGTCCTTTGGACTGGAAGTCAGCTTTCATCCTCCAGGACCACCTGGATCAGAAGCTATTTTGGGTACTGTCAGCACACCACAAGGTCAGAGCACCTCTTTTCTTTTTGGGAGATGGCAGCATCTTACCTGCAAAATGTGGTAACATTCTCCTTTCAAAAGAGCCAAGTTCTAAACACTTTTACTGGAGGTGTCCGGAAGGAAGTATGATGCATCTCGTGGCAATTTCCCTCATTTGTTCCAATTCGTTCTTTCTGATCTTAGACAACAATGTGAGAAATCATTTACGGTCTGAAGAGTGCCTGTTTCAAAGCCTTCCATCTCTTTGTCATGCTCTGGTGTGACCAACACCAAGGTAGAACTATGTAGATCTGGGGTTCCAAGTGTGGCACCCAAGGGAGTATTGGTACCCCCTGCCTCCTCTAGTTTTTTTTTTAATTTTGAAGGGTTTGGAGTGCTTTTGTTGTTGTTTCCAGGGAGGGACACCTATCATTTTTGGGGTGGGTCCCTTTTTGTCTGTGTTTTATTTATTTGGGGGCCTTAGTTTGGTTGCCCATTGTTGGGTGGGGGTTCTGAGCATCACTAATTTCTGTGAAATGATCATTCTGTAGTGCCCATGATAGTTCTGGACCCCTGTAGACAGACTCCATTCTCTTGGGCTCTCACTGAGTACTATGGAACTAGTAAACTGTAATATAAAAATGAGTGGTGGGGAATAAGTTTTATTCTGTCTGCATTTAAAGCCGAACCTACCAAATTTTCACTTTCAGAAACAATACATGAATCAAAACACAGCTGCGCTTTGAAATTTTGTAGTGCCAGCCTCTAGCCAAGTACAAAAATGCAACACTAGGGTAAATTGTGCAAAAAAAAAAATGTATACATATAGTGAAAATAACACACAGTAGTAACACATGCTATTATGGAAAACTCCTTTGCAAAAATGTGTGCATTAAGCAAAATTGCAAACCCAAATGTGTATATTCAGAGAAATTTGCTGTAAAATTGATGAATTTTCATTTGGACTATTAAAAATAATTTCAAACTGATGTGAAAATGTGGAGAAACTGAACATAAGATTGGAAAAATTAGAAACTAAAGTTGATAGATTTGCCTGTCCACTTTGGCACTGGGATGGGAGCAGATCCATGTTGCCTCCTTTGAAATGTTAATGTCCCCATTTGCAAATGTTTGACAAAATAACTATACACCAGTCAGAAAGACTAATTTCCTCCTATGTAAGTGAATGGCTGTTGATCACAACTGCGCTGTTCTGAAGACTCCCATGGCAGTGGAGACAACAATGGTATCTCATATCTGACGCAATTTTGCAGTGTTGCGTATCTACGGACACTGTGCTGTATGGATTTGTGTTGTGTGCTTGTGCCACATATAGAATTTACTCCCGTTCCACTTCCCTAACAGTCCAGCTGATGGGGATTTATGGAAAGACTAAAATGTTTGAAAATATTGTAGGGAAAATGTGTTTTTCTGTTGTTGGAGGGGGAATAAGCAGAAGTGTGGGGTGTGTGTGTGTGAAATATATGCAATACTTATCAAACCTCTACTTAACTTTATGACTTCTTGAACATGAAATGTATTGTGTATAATAATTTAACACATAAAATTGTACAGCTTGTTATGTTTATGAAACTCTAAAGCATAAATGACTTCATTTTATGAAAAACAATAATTACAAATATACCCAGTGTCAGCTAGAGAGGGAAGGGTGGAGGGAACTGCAAGTTGCTGTGCCCTATGGGAGTCAAGTATATCTTAGGGCTTTTATGCCAGCTGAGAAAATAGGAATAAATCATAAATACATTTTGAAATTAGGAAGCATCCGCATTACAGTAAACAGAAGGTTTTATTACCTGGGCTTATGAGCAGCATTGTCAGGCAGAAACAGAAATGGTGTATTTTTTAGAGAGAAGGATAAGAAAACAAGCACCCCTGTAAAGCAGCAAAGGTTAGAATCATCAGCTTGGTGCCTCTGAGTGCACAGATTGGACAAATTCATGGAGGAGAAAGCTACCAGTGACTACTAGCCATGATGGCTATGGTCTGCCTCCACAGTCAGAGACCTCTTCTTCTTTGGCGATCACTCATAGACAACTAAGACTGGCTTCTATGAACACGGTTTTAACAGTGAGTCTGTGGAGGCCAATTCTGGATCCACATGTCCTTCCACAGTGGGGACATAGGTTTCCGGGCAGGAGTTGATCATGGTGAGGGTTTGCCAAATGCGCTTTACTCTTAGCACGCTTCTCCCTTACGTCCTGAGTTCAAGTGCCTTCAAAGTCCATGACACCTTTGATAAAGGCTGTTCTCCAACTGGAGCACTCACAGGCCAGTTTCCCAATTGTTGGTGTTTATACTACTTTTTTTCAGAATTGCCTTGAGAAAGTCTTTAAACCTCTTTTGTTGACCACCAGCATTACACTTTCCATTTTTAAGTTTGGAATAGAGTATTTACTTCGGAAGACGATAATCAGGCGTTTGAACACCATGACCAGTCCAACAAAGTTGATGTTGAAGAATTATTGCTTCGACATGGGTGATCTTTGCTTCTTCCAGTACACTGGTAATAGTTTGCCTGTCTTCCCAAGTGATATGTAACATTTTTTAGAGACACCATTGATGGAATATTTCAAGGAGCTGGAGATGGTGTTTATAAGTGGTCCATGTTTCACAGGCATACAGTAAAGTTGTTAGTACAATAACTTTGTAAACAAGCATTTTGGTGCCCTGCAGTTGTCCTGGTCCCCAAACACTCTGCCCTTCAATTGGGAGAAACCTGCACTTGCTAAGCTCATGCAATGCTGGATTTCAGCATCAATGTCGGTCCTTGTGGAAAGGTAACTGGCTAGGTAGGAGAAGTGTTCAACACTTTCCAACTATATACTATTGAGTTGGATTTGTGGCACTGCAGCAGGGTTGTTTTGTGCTTGTTGATGCAGTCCTTTGGTTTTTTTGGATGTTGAGCAAAGATATTCAGGATGGTTTGGAGATCATCCTCTGAGTGTGCACACACCATGCTGTCATCAGCATATTGAAGCTCTATGATGGAAGTTATTCTTTGCTTTCAGTCTACTCAAGTTAAAGAGCTTTCCATCTGTTTGATATATGATTTCTACCCCAGGGGGAGTTTCCCTTCGACAATGTGTAGGATCATGGCAACGAAAATAATAAATAGAGTTGGGGCAATAACACAACTCTGTTTAACACCTGTTCCCACTGTGAATGGTTCACTTTGAGAGTCATTGTTATCTGTGATTGTTGCTGTCATATTATCATGGGGGAGCAAATTTATCTCAGCAGCCGACAGTCAGAGGTTACCTTCTGAATACCAGTTGCTGGAAACAACAGGAGGGCCCAGAGCTCTTGTGCTCAAGTCCTGATCGACAGTTTCCCACAGGCATCTGGTCACTGTGAGAACGGGATGGTTCTCATGGGTCTGATCCAGTAGGCTCTTATTATGTTCTCATACCCTCCAACATTTATCCAATGAAAATAAGGGCGTCCTGTGTGTGTGTGTGTGTGTGTGTGTATATAAACTATTTCATTATTTGTACCCCATGCATCTGACTGGGTTCCCCAAGCCACTCCGGGAGGCTTCCAACATATATAAAAACCACAATAAAACATTAAACATTAAAAATCTCCTTGGCTCTGGGGGGGTCACATAACTCCATACCCACCAACATTTCTCTAATGAAAATAAGGATGTCCTGAGGAAAAGCAGGTCATTTTGAGAAGTAATCAGAAACTGGGATGGCTTCTGTAAATCCGGGACTGTCCCTGGAAAATAGGGACACTTGGAGGGTTTGAGAAGTTGTTGTCTCTTTCTTGTCAGTTTGCACTTTGTTTATGTGTATATTTCCAAACAGTACCTTTCACGAAGTTTCAGTCAAGCTGCTTCTGTCACAAAGATGGAGGAGTCTGAGGAAAATGAGAAACAAACGGAGCCTGAGACTGTTCTGTGTCACCATATTATAGAAGCAATATACCAGACAGACGCCCAGACGGCATGAAGTAATTCTGGACCGCAGCAGAAAGAGACTCATTCAGAAAAGAAAAGGTCAACCCTCACATTTATGTATATGTATTAAATCCCCCCCCCAAAAAAAAATGTACAAAAAAAGTTATCAACCCAAGAGGTTGAGCCCATGTTAGGAGAAGAAAGAAAACTAAAGATGCTAAACCACTTTCCCTCTTTATAAACTTCCTTAGAAGCAGCTGTAGGCATATTGAGCACTATTAAACATTTCCTCACAACAACAGAAAGAGAGTTCAGATTGTATTTATCCCAGATTATTGTATTTGTGGATCTGTGAGGAGTGTGAGTGCAAAAGCACTTCCCCAAGTATATACAAAAATGGAAATTTAACACATCTCAGATGTATTGTAATAGCAGCATAAATGTCTGGGTTAATGTTATGTGTATGATTAGAGATTTTCTCCTTTTACATAAACATTATTTTTGCACAACCTAAAAAAAAAAAGAATTGACAATCGTCATGTTAATAGACAACAAAAATCTCTAAAAGGTAATTGCATATGTACATTTGGCGACAAAGAATGATAGCTGGTGCATATTGGGTAGATTTCATTGACAGATACGATCTAAATTCCTGCTTCCCCCTCCTCCACCACCTACACAAAGATCTTATTGAGAGACTTTTAAATGCATAATGTGGGACAATAAGAAAATAAGTGCAGCTGCTTCTTTCTCACAAATAGGTCTGGTCCAAATGCATTGCTGCTAATATATGAACCACTGAGAGGGGACTGTGAGCTCTCTGACCCTTTACATCCACCCCCTCTTCCTGCCTGCCGTTGCCAGATTTCACTAGGTATAGCAGGGTAGCCAATGGACCCCGCAATCCTCTGGAGAAGCTGGCTCCTCTGCTAGTCACCTACAGATGTACGAGAGGATGCTATCCTGTCACCAGTGTTGAAGGGGGATTCAAAGGCCAGGCCAGTCATCTTTTCCTCATGGAATTTTTTTTGGGGTGGGGAATGGATGAAGGGGCAATCTTTCCATTTGTCCCAGGCAACAAAACATCTCCAGCCAGTCCTCGATATGGCAATATGTCTCCATGGACCCTAGTTACGATTCATGCTTATCAGGATTTCCTTCGTTCGCCATGGTTTGCAAAACAGTTCCAGTGTCCATTTAAGAGACAGACTGGCATCACACGTGCACCAGGCCTAAATGTGGGATACATCAGTTTTGCCTCTTGGAAGAGTGATTTCTGCGCCAGAGTGTAATCCATTTTTTTTTTTAAAAAAAAAAACTTATTTATTGATGTTTTTTAAAAAATTTTTTACAGAAATTACTTTATCCATTGACTCCCCATCCCCCATTCCATAGTTTCCATCTTTATCCTTAAACACTGCACATATTTCACACTTAATATTCAATACATCCATTTTAAACTTTTTATCTTAATAATTAATGGTGTTTCTCGTATTTCAAATCCTGCTTGCGTTTTCATCTCACTACAGTAGTTATTTAGATAATCAATAAAAAGTCCCCAGTCCTCAAGGATCCCCCCCCCCCATCATTTCAGTCTCTAATCTTTGCTGTTAATCTCGCCAGTTCCGCATACTCCATCGTTTTCGAAAGCCATTCTTCATTTGTTGGAACCTCCTCTTCTTTCCATCTTTGGGCATACAGTATTCTTGCTGCTGTCGTTATATACATGAATAAGCTAACCAACTCTTTTGGTGCATCATTATCTAGAATTCCTAAAAGAAAAGCTTTGGGTTTTCTCGGGAATCTTTTAAATCTCACTATATACTGTAATCCATTCTCAGTACAGTGGTACCTCGAGTTAAGAACTTAATTCGTTCTGGAGGTCCGTTCTTAACCTGAAACTGTTCTTAACCTGAGGTACCACTTTAGCTAATGGGGCTTCCCGCTGCCGCCTCGCTGCCAACGTGTGATTTCTGTTCTCATCCTGAAGCAAAGTTCTTAACCCGAGGTACTATTTCTGGGTTAGCGGAGTCTGTAACCTGAAGCGTATGTAACCGGAAGCATCTGTAACCCAAGATACCACTGTAGTGACCAGCTGGAAAGGGGTTTCACTGCAGACCTGCTGGCCTCCTGGCAGCAGCATCTCTGCCTAATACTGGGGTGGTGAGGCAGGTCAGTGGCAAGGTTGGGGCAGATCAGGCACAGTGGCAGAAGTGCTAGATTGGCTCTGCCAGTGTGCCGAAAGCCACCACCTCCCTGCCTCACCCCATTGCTGCCCTAGCAGGAACACCGCTCTCTCTGCTCCTGTCCACCATAAATTCTTACATTTATGGTTTTATTGTGATATCCTCTGATGGGCCTCTGTCTGAAAACATTCGGTTTGTTGAATACTTTACCTGCTACTGACAACAACCCTCCCCACTCAACACACACAAACAAACACATATATCCCACCAGTTACCACATTCCCACACCCTCCATGCACCCCTATTTTCCAGGGACAGCCCCAGATTCACAGAAGCTGTCCCGGTTTCTGATTTGATCCCGGAATGTCCCTCTTTTCCTTAGCATGTCCCTATTTTCATTGGAGAGATGTTGGAGCGTATGGTAGGACAACCCTATTTGCATCAGAGAAATGTTGGAGGGTATGGAATTGGATGCCCTCAGGGCTTTGCTTCTGGCAGAACTCACTGGAACTCAGTTCCGGCACCTCTCAGGTTGACGCTGTTGCCATTCTAAGAGAATAAGGGAGGTGTTCATGACAAGTTACAGCACCTCTTTTCCTAGGAAAAAGAAAGCGCTGGATATTTTTGTCAGAGAATATACATTCCTGCCTCCCCTGGGCAGCAGGCCTTGTGTGTTGACTTTCTAGCATCACAAGCATTGTTAACAGGAAGGATTAATCTGAAATTGCAGGTCCTTTAACTCCTTGAACAATTGATTTCATTCACCTCGCAGCGCCTCCTTGCACCAAGCGCGGCGTGATAAGTATGAGGCCCCACAAACGGCGGGAACTGGAGATAACTGCAGCTGTACATCAGGTCCCATCAGGAGGCGGCAGGTTCTCCGTACTGTGGACTCCATATATTAGCACTCAGAAAAGTTGAATCAGCACACAAGTCCATTTCTTGAAAGGTATTAATCGCTTTAAAGGGAAAGAATAATAACAGGGCGATAGAGAGTGAAGGAAGGAGACGGGGAGAAATGCAATCTGTTAGGAGACTGGGACAGAACAAATGAAAATTAGAGCGGTAGTTTGCTGTCACGAGAGAAGCCTAACCGGTGAGCTACACTTCTCGGAATAGCATTTTGCTCCTGTAGTAACTCCTGGGAATCAGCGGACTCTTATATGACCATAAACCACAGCTGGTGACTAGGGATCTATATAAAGGCATTGTCCTGACTTATTCCATCAAGGCTGGCATTAGATGGTTGGGACCTCCAAGGGAATGAACCCAGGGTCTCAGCTTCCAAAAGTTAGCTCCAAGTATGCGTGTGAGGGTTCTCAAAGGGAAGCCATAGGCAGCCCATCATGACTTTTTACTTAGGGATGAAGCTGGTTCAGTTCATCTGGCTTCTCTCATCAGGTTTCACCCCCCCTCTTCCCACAGCTGGATGTGTACACTGATTCCACCCAACAAACTGCACAATGGGATGGAGATAAGTTGATCTGTGATGGCTCATCTATGCAAACAAGTGACCACGATGCAGACGTCATCAGATGTTGAGAATGCATAGCTGAATAGGCCCACAATGAAGGACAAACTGCAGAGATCCCAAGGACTGAAAAAAATGAGAAGCACAAAAGAATAGAGCACTAAAGGGAAGTAGAAAGCTCTTTGGAGACTCAGGGATTCCTATAGGCTGGTGTCCAAAGAAATCACTCATCAATCACAGCTCTGATTTCACTCATTGGCTAAAAACATCGAAAGGTGGGGGAAATCCCTTAGAAGTGTCTTAACTTTCTTTCTACGAGGGCCTCTGCTGATATGGGTTCTGATGTCATTCACCCAGTTGTACCATTATAAACCAGAGGGGAGTGAGGAAAACCCTTGAGTGCTCCAGAAATGTGTGGAAGAATTGGTGTTCCCTGGAGGAGCCCATGGAAGCACGTGCCAGGCAGATGTCTTCTTATGCTCTCACCACTTCTGACACCATCGTGCTGAAGCAACATGGGTGGCAGGGCCCATTAGGTTAAAAGCTTCTTCTTGGAACAAAGCAGATTTCAGCTGTTAACCCCAGCAGACCCACCCAGGTGGCCTCCCCACTATAAACTCAAATGGGAGGACCAAGTGGAAATGGCCCAGTGTCTTCCATTAAAACTAAACCCCTTGTTTCCATTTTAAATACGAGGCAATTGAGAAATCTTTGCAGGATTACAACGTACAGTATTCTTAATTGGAATAGGTTAATGCATTACTTACCCTTTTTATTGCATCTGTGTGCTATAACATTATTGAACTCTTAATATTTGGAAAGTGTTTTTTCTTTTGCTGTTGTCTACCAACAGTCATTCCACCAAGGAGTGATGGGTAGTGGTGTAGTGGTTAAGAGCAGTAGACTCGTAATTTGGGGAACCAGGTTTGCGTCTCCGCTCCTCCACATGCAGCTGCTGGGTGACCTTGGGCCAGTCACACTTCTCTGAAGTCTCTCAGCCCCACTCACCTCACAGAGTGTTTGTTGTGGGGGAGGAAGAGAAAGGAGAATGTTAGCCACTTTGAGACTCCTTTGGGTAGTGATAAAGCGGGACATCAAATCCAAACTCTTCTTCTTCATCATCATCTCTTATCTCTTCATTGGCTCATCTAAGAGATCTGTAACTTTGAACTCCTTGAATCCTTTCATTCCAGCTGCTAGTCACAATAATTCCAACTTCCCCTTTTTCCTCCTCCCTCCCATCCCCCTTTCCTTTTGTGCCTTGACTTTCAGATGGTAAACTTGAGGGGAGGAGCTGTCCTTTTTCTATTTTGGAAACTGGCAGAATTCTTTGTCTGTTCTCTAAGAATTCGCACACATTTTGACATAGCATGCCCAATTTTTTCATGAGAGCTCCTGAGGTCAAGGAGCAGGTTTTTGTCTCAGTTTGGATACAGTTGGGCATCATTTTGGTGTTCCTGAATCCTAATTATGTAGTCTTTAATACAAGGAACTTCCTTCCCCATAGCCTCTCTCAAGGTCCCCCGGCCCCTTTGAAAATTTCAGTGGATGAGAATGTTATGCAGGTGTGTGTATTGGCTGGGTGTCAGCTTCCCATTTCCTTGCCCCCCAACCTAGAAAATTTTGTTATGAGATTTGCAACAAGCACCTGGATGAAGATCTTGGGGCATTTGCAATTTTCCTTTTGACAGTTAAGTGTAAACCAGCAATTAAAAAAAAATATGCCCTATTCATTGAGAACATGTCTTTTTGCATTCTTTTTATAGGTAGAGGAGAGGCATGGCTTCCTCAGCGAAGCTAATGAAGGTTTTTTTGTGTGTTTTTTAAGGAGAAAAACCTCCAAGTCCATAATGTATCAATTAACACAAGTTTACTGCAATGTGATTTTGTTCAGAATGTGAGTTGACACTTGAAAGACAAAAGAATCCTGGCACAGGGTTACATCAGCAATATGGATTCCTAGTTTATGTTACACAAAAACTTTGGCAAACTATTACAAACCATTGTCAGTATGATTATCGTGCCACGTTAACATTGTTTGAAGGCTTTTCGGCATTGCAAAGAAAAAGGCTTTCAAAATGTTTGTGCTTCTCATGACGAGAAACATACTCTTGAGCCTGTTCCATGAGTCTTGATAGCAATCAGGGGGTCCCCTGGGCAACACCGGAGAAGAGCTTTTACCCTTGCATGTTGTTAAATGGGTTAGCTCAGGACACGATCCCCACCGGGATGAACTTCTGCACAAGCTCTGTTGAAATGCATGGGAGCTGCACAATAGCATCTTCATTTCTGAAATCTGGGATATTGAAGAGAAAGAATAGGAAACCAAATCCAATGAGGAATGCCTGAAAGAGACATGTATGCTTCTCCTACAGAAGATAAGATCAAGAGGAAACCTGATAGCTCTCTTCAAGTCCACTTTCCCCCACCTCCCATTCACTATTGGCAAATAAAACAATACACAGCTGTAGCTTGTTTCCTTTTGACAGAAGTGGATGGAATTTTAGGCAAACTAACCCCTCCAGAGTGTCTGCTAAATTGCATGCAAATAGGCCCACAAAAATACAATTTGGGGGTGGAAAGAACTAAAAGGAATTCATTTCCCTGATAAAATAATTTCCTCTGATTACAAGCTAACCCTCTCAGTTGTGAAGGAACTCCCTCTCCTCTGTTCCCATCCTGCCATCTTAAGTTTTACCCTTACAAAACTGCTCCCTTCTCCAAACCAAGGACAGTTCTGATGTTTCTGGACTACAAGTCCCATCATTCTTTACCACTGCTCATTCTCACTTAATGGATCCAGAGAAGGGGTCGTTTCCATAGTTGTACCTGGATTATGGGACACCTTGCCTGTTGAGATTCAAATGCCCCTCTCTTTTTTTCTGACGGTTAGTGAGAATGTTTAGTTAACCTAAATAAGGATTTGTTCAATAACGTTTTTATCCATCTTGCCTGCCATTCCCCCCCTTTTCTTGTATGTTATTGATTAATTGTGAATGGGATTTTAAGCCATATTGAGTGGCGTGTAAGTTTCAGAATGGTAAGGAAGGAATCTTATAAATAAACAGAAACAAATACTTCTAGTTAAGGATGTTTGAAGAGTTTGATCTTTGTGAATTCTAATACAAACTGAGCTGTTATGCACCTCTCTGGTGAACAGGCAGGATTCAACTAACTACGCCACTAGTAGAAGCCAATGCAATGACTTCTGCTAGTGCAGTAGGGTCCCTCTCAGTGTTTGAAACTCCCACTATTCTAGGTGTATTTTGCCACAGGGAATTTCATTAGCGCGAGCCGTTTCTGATCTCTGGGCGCAGTACTGCGCCTAAGATTTCAGATTAACACTGCAGAGTGGAAGGAAAGGAGGACCTTTTTCTGCCTCCCCACTTCCAGCTACTCTCTGAAGACCGGAGAAGAGACCCTCTTAAGAATATTAGGGGGGTGGACAGAGGAAGACTAGACCATGTGAAAAATGAACACAATATTTTAGCTGCCGCTCATTCATTTTCAGTTTTGTATTCTTGTTATAAAAAAGCATTCCTGGACATCCCGTTGTTGCACCCATAACCTCAGTTTAAGGTGCCATTTAGCTCCTGGCTTTCATATCTCAGTTTCTAACACTGGTTCCTCTCTCCCTCCCTCCCCATTATTGACCCAAGGGGATGGGAGAACCCCCTGAACAGCACATGGGGGAGGAGAGCGTGGATAATTCTATCTGGGAAGTTGAAATGCTTCCACTGATGAAACAATTGCCATTGTATGAGAACTTAGCTATCTACTTGGTTTCACATTTTTTTCAGAATGATATTCTTGGCAGTTTATACCTATCGAAACACATATGAAAATGCAAATTTTGAAATCAAATCTAGAAATTTAGAAATATACATATATGAAAATGCAATCTTTTAGTGCAACTTTTCCCTTTTTAAAATAGCGATTAATATGGACATGAGGTTGAACAGGCTTATGGATGAACACATGCAAAAGGAACATGGATGAGATGTCCATTCTGTTGCCCATATGTATGACTCATGTGCAAAAAACCAAAAGCATCATAGCAGATTCCCTCCTCATACTACATGGCCAAATAAGACTCTTATCATAATGTGTGGCAGCTGATCTTAATATAACCATACAAATGTTAAGCCTCAAGCATTCAGGCACAGTTGTGTTACATGAATTACATGGGTGAATTGTGTACACTATAGGGATGTCAGAGAATTCTGACAAAAATGGAAGGAGGTGTGGAAATTATTCACTTTTTCATCACCTGTCCAGAATGGAAATTAATCCAGCAGCTGATTGGTATTCACAGTTGCTTTCAGTAATTGATGACACACCCATACTCCAATTTGCACTGCATTTCCTTTGCTTTGAAATGAATGGGGTGTAATGACGCAATGTCAAGGTATTCAGATAATTATATAAATTGCACTGGTTATGTAATTTTGCTGCAGCAGACAAATAACACAGTTTTTGTCGGAAGACCAACTGCAGCAGAACAGAAACAGTACTGCATGTGACAAATTGGGGGGTGGGGGATGATGCCTTTTTACAATCCTTCTATATTGTTAAGTGCTTAATCAGAAGTCTTGTAAGTCAGAGAACCAACAGCAACAATAATAATGCATATTTTGATACTAGCAGCATAAAACATAATCAAAGAAACTTTTTATGCTTCAGAAAAAGGCCTAGGAAAATGTGTCTGAACTACAACGCAGAACAACTTGCGTTTGCATGGAGTCTTCCACACAAACTTTCTCTTGGAACACTATACAGAATCATCTAAACTAACATTTTAAAATTATGCAACTCAGTTGCAAAAAAAACCCAACATGAAAACAAATGATGAATAAATTAAAGTAGTCATAAATCCAATTAGAGAGAGAAAGAGAAATTAAGAAGTATAAGCAAGACGGAATATGCATTTTTAAGAAGGGGTTTTATAACAAATCGAGAATTAATGAGGCAAAGAGATACCGGCACACTGGCATGTGGACTCTTGCTGTGCAAAGGAAATAGTATTGCCCTCCTCAGCTGACATCAGGGGAAGGTCACTGTGGCTTGAGGGGATTTGAGGCTCACGTGTATAGGCAGGGACTCTGCCCATAATGAAGCATGGAATTCAAACCGATACACCATTACGTCCCTAACTGGAAATAATGTAGGTCCTTCAATTGGCTTGAAAAGTACCACTTCATCCGAGCTCCCTCAATGGGCAAAATTAACTCCACAGAGCCTTAGAACATAGCACATTATTATGATGTGAACCAGCTGAGGATTGGTACCTAATTTAATGTTTTTTGTAGGTGGTGGTTGTATTATTCTGACGTATGGAAGCATGATGTGACGAAGAGGCACTAAGGAAGCTACACAGACGTGCATGTTAGAAAGATTTTTATAGAAGGAAGGACCTTCAAAGCAAAATTAGACGACAAATACAGCCCTTGTCCCAGAATTCTGGGAATACTGCTTCCAAGTAGGTTTTTAGCCTCACTGGATAGCAGAGAAGAGCTTGAACGTCCATCTTGAAAGACTAGGCATCGTCTGGATTTGAGAACATATTACGTTGTCTGGATACTGGATCCCTGAAAAAGAGTGGGATGTGTACCCACAGTTCAGAAAATTCTTGGAGAAGACTCTGGTTTGACCCGGAAACCCTGTGCTCTGAAGCAGAGATCTGGTCTGGTAAATTCTGTAATAAACCAGAATTGGGTGGTGATGGGATCCAGGGGGAAAGGCAGGAATGAATGTTTTTGGATGGACATCAACTGGATTCTCAAAAACAAATAAGTGAGAGTTGTCACTGTAAACATTGGGGGGGGGCGTGAGTGTTAAAAAGAAGCACATCGAGAGGCATAAGAGCTGCATGTTAGTGATTAATTAACCACTTAAGACTGCAATTCTATATGCACTTACCCCCCACTCCACTGAACACAATGCGGCTCATTTCTGAAGTTGCGAAGCTCACTAGGTAACTTTGAGCCAGTTACTGTCTCTCAGCCTAACCTGCTTCACAGGGTTGTTGATGTGAGGATAAATCAGGGAGGGCCAGAACCATGTGCACAGCCTTGAGCACTTGAGAGGATAGGTGGGATAAAAATTAAACAGAACGATCACATCTAGTTTGCTTTGCTGGTGTTTTATCAATACTTAGACGTGCAAAGGTAAAACACTGCAGAAGAAGTCTTGCAATCTTTACCTCAGGATTGCTTTTTTGAATGTTTCATCAATGGGTGCATATGGAAACGGCCAGGGGTGGGGGCATGAATGAACATATTTGGTGGTCTGCACAAAACCTGGAAATATGCAACAATTAAGAATCCCTCATTCATTGGTTCCAATGCAGGCATTGCAAATCTCCATAACCCAGGGAGAAACTGGCTAAGGGACATCAACTTTTACCTAGGGCAATAGTAGCAGTGCCAGTATCTTGGGGTGGTTCACTCTGATCTCCACACAGGTCTTCCATCAGCTTTCTGAACAACCATCTCTGCTTACCTGCAGATGTCTCCCTCCCTGCCTCCCTTCTCTCTATCTGCTCACATAAACAGCCTTCACTTGGCACTTTCTCTCTCAGCCCTCCTTTCTTTGAACTCGCTCAACTCCACTGAGTTATGTCCTGAGTAGTTAGTAATGGAGGTTTCCCCTGGGTAGCGAAGTGCAGATTCATGATGCTGTAAAACAGAGGAAGTGTATGCCACGGAGTCAGCGTAAAGGAAAGAGGACTCCGGACCGCAAACTCTAATGATCTTCCACCAGTGCACCAAACATTTATTTGTTATGCCTCGTCTCAGGCGCCTTCAGTTAACCCCTTGCGGCAAGTACAGAGTCAGACACAAATTAAAGCCTCTCCAATGGCTTTGGCATTCACGACAAAACATCTGCACTGTTTTCCAATGGGACTTTTGTTTTTCTTAGGGAAAGCTCCCACTGCTCTCGCTTATAGGTTGAGGCAAGAGGGGAGCAGGAAGAGATATTAGTTTTGCCTAGTTTTCTGCAAGATTCTGTTCCCTCACTGCCACCCCACCCACCCCCAAAACCAGAGGCCTACTTAGCTATTCAATTTAAGTTCAATCTTTTGGGGGCTGGAGGTTCTTGTCAATGAAGTCAAACTGGGAGTCGAAAGAGCAAAGATGGTTTTGAGGGCCTTCTTTCTCTCTCTCTCTCTCCCTCTCTCTCTCTCTCTCTCTTAAGGGCTTCATTAAAAGCAGACAGTTTCTCTACCCTTTTAAGAAAACCTGTTATCTGATGACGTGAATTAAAGTCTCTCAAATGACTAATAATCATATCAAGGCTGCCATGTCAGCTTGTAGATTTGAATAAGAGGGCTCTGAAAACGTTTGCATGCCTCGATGTGCCGGCGCTAAGAAGCTAATGTGATAGCGCTGTCATAAAGCGCTGGGAAAGACAGGGCTTAATGTAATCTGTCATGTCATATGCTAATCTTCAGCCATTACTTGAGTGCTGTAAGTAAGTAGAAAGCATTTGGGAGAAATCCTTTTCAATTTCTCTGAGTACCACTTCTGCTGCTGGTCAGCTCAAATGGGTTTTTGTGCATTTAATGCTGAGCTCAAGTCAAGTTGGTTTAGGTCACACTTAATTAACCAGCCCCGCTGACGGCAGAGGGCTTGGTGCGGCACGATGGAAAATGGGTATTCCTGATACTGCCTAGCGTGTAAATATTTCATAAGTCGGAGGGAAAAGGAGACTTTCACAGTCCTTGATAGAGAGGATGTCCTTACACGGGGCGGGGGGGGGAGAGAACAAAACACACGCTGTGACTCTTTAACAAGGTCTGGGGTGGGAGGGGGGCTGTTGTGCCTGTTTTCCTCCTGCTTGTACATGTGAGCACAGTTTTCACAAAGACGATTATAAATAGTTAAAGAGATTTCCTTTTTGTAACTGGGAACTTTTAAATCACTCAATACAAGCTGCCACTTAGCCAACAATGGAGAGAAAAGGGGTTTTTTTTGGGGGGGGAGGGAGAGACTGCTTTCAAGTTGATGTACTTATTAATAAGGCCAGAACAAGTGATCAAAGGCTTGAGAGAATTCACTTCGCTTATTTGTTTTAGCAAATTGATACCAACATTTCTCGGTGTACAGCAGGTTAAGAAAGGGGGGAGCAGGGAAGCACCGGAAGTCGAAGTTCGTGGGAGACGAGAAATGAAACATATTAGCGGCGATGATCGGGAATTTCAGGACCATTTTGGCAAAAGGGTGCTTGGAGGTCATTTTAATGACAGGTGCAGCACATTGAAATGAATGGCTTCGGGAGCAGAGTGTTTGATAGTGATGGGTTGAGATGGGGCACCTCTTGAAGACTTTGCCCATTCATCTTAGGTGATCCACACCAATAAATGGAAAATGTATCTCATATCGCCAAGAAAAGGGTGGAACATAGGAAGCTGCCTAATATGGAGCCGGAACATGATCCAACTCAACAGCATGTCCACTGACTGGCAGCAGCTCTCAGTTCTACCCGGGGAACCCAGAACCTTCTGCATGAAAGGCAGATTCTCTACCACTGAACTACTACATGTTGTTGTCATTGGCATCCATCTGTCTTGGGAGGCAATGGAGGAGTGCGCCTTTTGGAGGGTGAAGTCAAACTTTTTGGAGGTTGCAGGGCCTGCCGTGGCTGTAGAGACCGATACAGGAGAGACATGTTTTGTTGCAGCTGGGGCAGATGAAGGCATCCATACCCTCCAACATATATCCATTGAAAATAGGGACGTCCTATTCCATTATGATGATTATGATTATGATGCAGCTTCCAACATAAATAAAAACACAGCAGTATAAAGATATATAAACTGCTCACACAATATCAGAGCAGTGTGGGGAGGGAGGGGGACAAGTATAAAGTACAAACCAAAACATAACACAATGAAAATAACAGTACAACACTAAAAGTGGATCAGTGGAATGAATATACAGTGGTACCTTGGTTTTCGAACGTCTCCGTTGACGAACATTCCGATTTACAAGTGCCGTAAACCTGGAAGTAAATGCTTTGGTTTTTGAACATACCTCGGAAGTCGAACATTCCACGCAGCTTCAGCTGAGTGCACGATCCGGAGGCCTAGCTGTTGGCTGTTGAGTTCTCAGATTTCGAACATTTCAGAACCTGAACAGTCTTCCGGAACGGATTGTGTTTGAAAACCGAGGTAACACTGTGTGTGTCTTTCTCACAACGCTTCAGGGTTTTTTGGGGGGTGGGGCCTTCCTGGCTTCATGTCTTTCCCCATATTTAGTAGAGTTAGAAATAATCAGTATAAATATTCTCGCAATCGTCCCTCACTGCCTGCAGTCTTGAGTCAAAGACTTTCCATTGTCCTGTTTGGTTCATTCTTCTTGGGAGTATTGCTAATGACTGGTCCAAGTTCTCCAGTCACATAAGGCCTCTGAGGACCTAAGTTCCCAGAAAAAGAAATACCCATTCAAAAATAAAAGGATTGCATGAACACTTAGTTTCATATGTGTCTCAGCTCGATTTCCCTGATATCTGGGATCATCCACCTCAGAGCTACCCTATAGCAGTGGTGAGGAGCATCAAACCTGATGGCCAGGTGTGGCCCTCCAGGTATCTCTGCCTGGCCCTTGAGACTCTCCACAGACCAGACGCCCACTCAGACCTGGAGCGTGAGACATTTTTCGTGGCTGGAATTTGTCCTTGAAAATCAACAATGTCTCTTGCTTGCCTCAACTGACAGCAGATAATGTTGTTTGAGTATGTGTAGATTTCAGTTTACTGTGCAAAGATATTAAAATTCACTGCTACACCTGCTTTTGCCTCTGGCCCCACCTACCACTGGCATATGGCCCCCAGAATGCTCCCCAGAATGGAATGTGACCCTCAAGATATAAAGGTGCCCCTACCTTATATGCATTGTCAGGCCAAGGGCCTTTGGGGGAGGGAAATAGCAGCTGCAAGTTTATGGCTGCCAGAAGATGCTCCAGGGGATGGCAGTAACGTTTGTTCTCCTCTCCCCAGCAAATTAATGAACTTTGTTCAATTTTTGCTGCTCATAACTGATGGAGGTGGGTGGATTAGACATTGAAATTATCGGAATCCTTGGTCACGGACCATAGTGACCTTTTATCCAAAGTATTAAGGTATGCTTAGCATGCCTACTCATACGAATTTGCCACTATGTACAGATTCCTTAGTTTATTATGTCACCTCCAAATTTATAACCCAGCGAAAATACACTCAACCAGAGAATGCAAACAAACCATTTCATCAAGGTTTAGGTCAAATAGTTTAGATAGATGGAGGGTCAGTAAACAAAGAAAAAGTACCCAATATGGTAAGAACAGCTAAAAAAAAAGATTTCCTTAGTTTTCGCTGAACTTTTAAGGAGAAAAAAGGGATAGATCCTAAATTTGTCATGGTTTATGGTCAATATGGTATAGGAAATCAACTCCTGGTGACAATATTAAACTATGAATGTATTTGTGAGCACCTCTGCAGATAACTACCTGAAAGAAAGAGATCAATAACATAACAGATGAGAAAAAGAGAGTTTATTTTCTCATGCAAATGGAAACTCACTTAAATGAGTACAAAGTACAGACTAAGGCCGCACAGCAAGAGGTCTGTTGCAAGATTATCATTTTGAAAATATTTATATGCATTAAGCAATTCAGTTTATTTGACACAGAGAGAACAAATCAAGAAAAATGTAGAGCTGCTAAACCATTCGTTTTATTATTATTTGTTATAAAAATCCAGGGAAACACCCACGACTGTTGTTTTTCTGTAGCAATTGAACTGTAGGCTTGGAAGACTTCTCAAAGGTCACCTGATCAGTCTCCCATTTGACAGGCTAATAAATGATTAATGCTTTGAGTATGGGGTGGGGGGTATCTGTTGAGATGGTTATGGGGAGGTGGGGATAAAATGCATTGCATCGCCATTTGCCAAGAGGAAGAACAATTGGAAGGGGCAAAGCAGAGTGAGGCACTAACCTCCTGCCTCTTCCACTTTTCCCTCTTGCAGTCATGGACCTTGCATCAAGATCACAGGGGGTGGTCTCAAAACATGCATCCCACTATCTTGCTAAAGCTAAGCAGGTCTGGGTTTGTTCAGCTTCTGGAGGGGAGACCAACTGAGAACCACATGTATGCCGCCTTGGATTCCGTGGCAAAAGATGGGTTAGAAAATGTAAGAAAATTGAATACATGTTTTTGGAAGGATCATACCTATGTGGTAGAGTGCATGCTTTGAATGCAGAAGGTCCCAGGTCCAATCTCCAATATCTGCAGGTTGGGCTTGGAAAGGCTCCCTTTCTGAAACCCAGGAGAGCAGCTGCTGGTCAATGTGCTCAATGAACCAACATATAAGGCAGCTTCTAATATTCCAAGATTAGTCTCCAACTGGAAGGGAACCCTAAAATGTGGTTTACTACTGATGGAGACCATAGGGCATTTTGAAAATTTACACAATCCTGGTAGTATCCAGCATTGGTATGGAGGTTACCCACATAACGGGAACACATGACCAGTTCTCACAAGTCCAAACTCCATTAGGGTGGCCAAATGTCCTAGCTGTTTGATGGGATTTCAGAGGACAGTCCTCTGTTTCAAGGTCTCTATGTGAAAGGCTGTTCAGTCCAAGCCTAAAGATACATATTCAGGGGCCTTGAACCGATCAGCAGTTAGTACTTGGACAGATGACTAAGCAAGCACACAGGTCACCTAGTTACCGTCTTCCCCTTTATAACGAGGTGTATTGCATTTCTCTGCATTATAGTAGATATTTCTGAATTAGCATCTATACATATAGAGTGTGATACGAGTTAGTGAGAGCAGTGCATGCTTGCACAACAAGGTTTCTCTTTCCTCTCATCAAACCCTTCAGCCTCATTGTGTGGCCTCCAAACCTTCTGCAGATGGTTGAGCAACCCTCTGGAGCAGATTTTGGGGAAAACACAGGAGAATGTAGGAGGGCAAAGAGAAATTGGAACCTGGTGTATGTTGTGTGAGCATGCTGACATCATTGGATATCATCCATAAAATAGCATATGCAACTTTTATGTAAATATATATCCTCCTTCGTCCTGATGTGGAGGTGGGCCATGTGGATGCAGAACCACCAGCCCATGGAAATGTTTTTGTTGATCTTCAGCAGGGCATCTAACATTTTGATCAGCCTTGAATCTGTCAGTTGCATGTTATCCATCATTTATAACATAACATTTAAAACCTATTTATTACAGTACTTTCAGGAAGTTCATGGTTTGTATGAAGGGGGGAAGTCCTGATCATGGTCCTCTTATTAATCAGATGAAAAACTGGATGAAAGGACTGAAATTGAATTTCCAAATATACAATACTACTAAATCTGAAGGGGGGGAAATGAATTATGAGGAACAGCATAATCAGATACGGAAAGCCTTTGATTTTTGAAGTCCTGAACTAAAAGATGTTAAATGCATTTCAGATGAAGTAATAACCCATGAAGGAAACAAAAGTTTTCAAAATGATAAAATGCTACAGTCTACTGACCAAGGAAGAAGGATATGTTTTACCTAAATGATCTCTGTAAAAGAAATAGATTTGCTCAACAAACCAGGTGCCCCATAAAGTGAGCGGCCTACAATATCTTGGTTAGATTAATGATATGTTCGTAGAATGTGAACATTGTTAGTGATGTTACTCAATTTCATAATGACCCAGTTTTGAAATATGAGTTTGGTGTGCTTGTAAGCACACTTGTACCCTAAATCAGGACAATTCCCCCATCTCTCTTGTCTGGTTTGGACTGAAATCTAAGGCAGAAAAGAAGAACCTCTCCAGCATCCCCTCCCCTCACGTGGCCACAACTGCTGCTGTGGTAACTGAAGAAAGTGGGAGATTGTCTCCCCACCCTCCCTCTAGGTTGATTAGGATGCTGCTATAACAGTGTCATAACAGGGACATGGGTGGCGCTGTGGGTTAAACCACAGAGCCTAGGACTTGCCAATCAGAAGGTCGGCGGTTCGAATCCCCGCAACGGGGTGAGCTCCTGTTGCTCGGTCCCTGCTCCTGCCAACCTAGCAGTTTGAAAACATGTCAAAGTGCAAGTAGATAAATAGGTACCGCTCTGGCGGGAAGGTAAACGGCATTTCCGTGTGCTGCTCTGGTTCGCCAGAAGCGGCTTAGTCATGCTGGCCACATGACCCGGAAGCTGTACGCCAGCTCCCTTGGCCAATAAAGTGAGATGAGCACGACAACCCCAGAGTCAGCCATGACTGGACCTAATGGTCAGGGGTCCCTTTACCTTTACTATAACAGTGTCATAGATACCATGGACAGTGGGAAATGCAATTTCCCTAGGTTCCTGAGAAAAGTGCATCCCTCAGCATTCCTTACGCCTATAACGCTGCTGTAGTAGTTTCTCAAGAACAAGGAAAAGGAAGAGCAAGGAAGAAAGGAGAAAGAAAGATAGCAGATGGGGAGATAGAGACCCCTTGTTCCCCAAAAGCCATCCGTGGCCCCACTGGGTCAGGAGGTTGGAAGGTTCATGAAGTAGAAGGTGGGGAAATGGTCCCA